GATTTAATTAATAATAATAAAAGTTTTATATAGAATAACTAAAATGATTTATTTTTAAAAATTGTCAGGTGTCTCTACTTTTTACCAGTGAGTGTACATCCAAACATACATGGTAACAACAACAAAAGCAAACACTCGGTTATTCACGACCAGAATTACACGGACCACATGGTGGCGTATAAATCCCGGAGGAATTTCCGACTTCGTTGAAGAAGAAAATTAACAAAACAAAACATATGTTATATAATTCTATAAAAATAAAAAATAAAAAAAAAAACCAACAAAAAAAAAAATGGGAAGATTTTTTTTTTTACGAGTTATAAAATTGATTGACGATCATATCGATCATCTGCTAAAATTTTGGCTTAGCAATTTTCATATTTAAATATAATAAAAATGTCTAATAAATTAACGAAACGTCAACAAAAAGCATTTACTTTTCGTAAAAATAAAAAACAGCGAAAAGAAATATCAATAGAAGAAAATCCAGAAAAGATTGAGCAAAATTTTAAACTCGATATTGAAAATAATAAAGATGAAAATTCGATAAATTTTATCGAGTCAAATAATGAATCGAATAAGGAAGAAAAACAGAATAATGAAAATGAATTCATGGGAGAAATAGAAGAAGAAGACTCGGTAACTTCAGAAACTGAGAACACAGACGATGATAATAAACAATCAAGTAACAATAAAGAAAAAAAAAAGGGGAAAATAAAGCAGTCGAAACCTAATACTATTCGATTTATTGTTTTTGTTGGTTAGTTATAATAAATTTATGTCAAATTATTTTAAATTATTTTAAAATTCATTTCTTTATTAGTTTGACAATATTAAATTCTTTTTTCTTCAAAAAAAAAAAAAGCCAATTTACCTTATGATACGAAAAACGAAGCATTATCTAAACATTTTGAGTCAGCTGGTAAACCTATATCGATTCGATTAATTTCTGATAAAAAAACTAATAAACAAAAAGGTTTCGCATTTGTGGAATTTGCTACTTCACAAGAATTAAATAGAGCATTAAGATTTCATCATTCAATATTCAAGAATAGACAGGTAAAAAACAAAATGAATTGTAAAAATTGTTGCAAAAAATTGTTGACTTATTATAACAAAAATTTTCGGTGGGGGGTTTTTTTTTTGTTGTATGTAGATAAAAGTAGAATTAACTGCAGGAGGTGGAGGTAATAAAAGTAAAACACGCCTTAATAAAATTAACGAAAAAAGAAAGAAATTAAGTAATGAAAGGGTATGTCATTTCATTTTACCAAATTTTTATATTTCATTAAACTAAATATAAATATTATTATTCATTTTTTAGAATAAATTTTACAAAACATATGTTATACCCAAAAAATCTAAAAATGATTTAGAGGAATCGATAATGAAAACAACTTCTCCTAAAGAAAGTTCAACTATCAAAAATAAAAATTTAATAGTGAAAAAACCAAGAAGGTTGAAAGGTTCAAATTCTATTAAATCAACTAAAGTTAGAAAATTTGGTGGTAATATTAGTGACAATGATGATATGAATATTTAATATTTTTTAAAAAATTAAGTTTATATAAAAACAAAAAATTAAAATGATTCTATTTATTCGTCGTAAAACTTATAATTATTAAATAAATTATTTTCACATTGATTATTAACAATTTATAATTATTCCATCGAATATATTTATATCTAACAGATATATTCTATTTTAAATAAGTAATCTAAAATTACTTTCTATAACGCTTTTTCAGCATAATTAATAATTTTGACATATAAAGTTCTGCAAAAGAAGAAAAGTAGTAGTACTATATATTTATATCGAACAAAGATATTCTATTAAATGAATAATCTAAAATTACTTTTTTATAACAAATTTAAGGGGTAATTTTACGCTTTTTCAGCATAATAAATAATTTTGACATGTAAAGTTCTGCAAAAGAAGAAAAGTAATACTATAAAAGAAAAATGAATTAGCAAGTTATTGTATTTTAATCAGAATATAATTTAAAATATAATATTAACTCACTTCGTGTTCTGAATTATGTGGTGAAATAAAGTTATGTGCTAATTCATGACAAAAAGTCATGTACCAATATGAATAAGTTTCGGTAGAAGAAATATCCCCTTCCTTATAATGCAAACCAAGATAGTATCTGAAATTGAAAAATAATGCTTTTCCTCGATTAAATGCTATCGAACTTGAACTATTCTCGTAAAAAACATGGATCGCATTAGTGTGAAGTTCGAAAACTTCGCAAAGATCTCTAAGCACATTAACAAATCGAGTTAAAGGTTTAGTCCTGTTTGCACCAAGAATTTCTGATGGATCCAAGTCTTTGGAGACATAAAGTTCTACCCCGTTATTCCTTCCAGCAAAAGATAACGAGTGACCTATATACAATATATATACATATACACACATTAAATCTAAAAGAAAATAATAATGGTGTTAATATTCTCTAAATACCTGGCAAAACGTCACAATAACTTGCTTTACTCTCAGTGACAATATTCGTTGTTGTCTGACTATCAATGGCACTTCCTAAATTAGAACGACAGGACTTTACTGCACTTCGAAGTGCAATGTGCAAATTTTTTGTAATCTCTGGGCTCACTGGCTTGGTAGTTGAGGTTCCAGGTAGTGAAGGTTTTACTTTTTCAAAACCCCAACCAGATTTTGTGTCATTTTTACCTTGAGGAGTTATAGAAGAACTCTGTGCAGCTAACTTTTCGGCTACTTTAATTAAATGATTCGAATTTTCTTGATTCAAACATTCACGAATATAAGCCAGGTCATAATTCGGATACATTCCTTTAATTATTTTGGTATTTTCTTCAATATCTTGTGACCCGTCTTTGCCTGAAAAATGTGTTTTGTTTTTATTTTTTGATAAAATGCGATCAATCGCCGCCGGATATTTACGTCTCAAAATTGTTAATGGAGTTGTCAAAAGCATAGCTAAATATGATTCTTCCATCAATTTTGATTTTTTAAATATGTGTTTTCCCAAATGCGTTGCGATGTCTAAATAATCAAGTTCACCAGGAGTTATATATAATAACCAAGATTTCTTCATATTATCCTGAATAATACATGATGGTATTGGTTCTATCACCTTTTGATTGGTGGTGGTAAGTAAATAAGTAACATTTATTTTCTCAACCTCCATGACTTTCAAACTTTGAACCCAAGAATATGGTCGTTTAACTTCAGATTCAGATATGTCATAATAGAAGAGTTGTGCTCTTTCAACTATAGTTTTTCCCAATTTAATGGAATTATCTGAAGCTCTTCCAAGACCTATTGGCTGAATATTTTCCCGAACACATGCAGTTAATGATTGACTGCCTAATATCTAAAAATTTATAAATAATTAGATCATAGATAAAAACTAATCAATTTTAAAAAAAATTTTTTTTTTGTACGTACTTGATAAAATTCTTCCAAAATTTGATCTGTAGGTGCAGTTAACGGTTTGAAAACATGTACATAATTTCTATTATCATCTATGAATATATCTTTAGCAGAAGCCAATTCATAATTTTGAGAATTATCATTTTCTACTTTTCGCACACCCAACAAGAAAGGAGAACGACACATCAAGTTGAACAAAGTTTTATTTTTAGCTATTGATTGGATATTTATAGCAATAATACGAAGAATTACTAGATATTTATCAACATTAGCCAAAGCACCCAGAAATTTACTCGATGAACCCACAAGTAATTCTGCATATTCGGGCGGTGATGGTTCGTTTTTAACCCCACAACTTAGTAAGAATTTATTTGCTTTTTCACCAAAGTCAATGTATGAAAAAAAATCCTGGAAGCTTTAAAAAACGTGATCATCGTAAATAATCATTAATAAAATGTTTTGATGTTTTCGAGATATAATAAATATTCATAATTTTTTTCTTATAAACTTACCTCTCCTCGGAATTCTTGAAAAAACAATTTTGTGGACTAACGTGAACAATTTGGAATGGTTGAGTCTTAGCAAGAATTGGAATAAAAGCAAGATTTGAAAGCTTTTCCCAATCGGAAGAATTAAAACTGGCTTGCTGTGAGGATAAATAACCGAAAACTTCCCTTGCTTCAAAATCGTTTTTAGGAGGAAATTGAATTAATCTATTTAAAAGTTGCTCACGAGTTGGATGCTGGCGAACGCCTAATTCTTCAGCTCGAAAACGAATATCAGAACGTATAGCATGGAACTTCATGATCGTACATCCAAAATTTAAAAAGCATCCCATAGGTGTCTCGAATACCTTAGGATCGGTACATGGCAAAAATGGAGTTTTTATCTCGTGAGGATTATAATCAGAAACATATTTTTCTTTAAAATTGGTGATAAAATATTTGAGAGCATTTTCCCTTAGATTTGATTCACTATTCGTTGATGCAAGTTGAAGAATGGTCTTGAGTGGGGGATATTCTCGTAGACCCAATGAATAAAGAAATTTAACTATTAATATAAAAAAAAGGCAATATTAAATTCCATAAGATATTATAAAAAACAATAATGTTATTCTAATGAAGAAAAAAAAAAAAAAACTACAAACCATCATCATGACCTTTATACCATCTTTCATTCCAATTAATAATAGGCAAACCAAATTCTTTAATTTCTGGTAATGGTGCGTACAATTCACTTGCTGTATATCTATTAATCTTATTCCCAACTTCACTACCGTTAATTACTTGAGTTTTGTCTTCTTTTGGCCAGATCTTTGTAATTTTCAATCTTTTAATTTCGTTATCAGTAAAGTTACATGATTCTTTAGCAAGATATTTTGCAAGTTGAATATGATTCCAATTCCCTTTACTAACTAGATCGAAAATAAGTTGTAAATCAACATGCTTTATTAAATAAAAAAATAAAGATTTATAAGAAATTATAAGCCGAATTCATAATTATAATTATCTAAATCAAGAAAAGTATGACTTACTTTTCGAACACCCAAAAATTCTAATAATACTTTATCAACTGGCTTAATAGTTTTAAAGGAAACGGTTGGCAAATCAGGGAAAAGATTTACATTTGGAAAATAGGCGGCTTCTGGTATCATCATCCCATGTTTAGTTGGAATACATCGTTTCTGCGTGAGTATTTCTTTTATTAACTCTTGATCTTTTTTAGATTTACTGAAATTTCGAGAAACAACTCCTAATACTTTCTCTGCGAAATCTGGATTCGTTTCGAACTGGTTTCGTTCTGCTATAAATTTAATCCAATGGACTAGTGGCAACTCTTTCCATCCTCTGAATAAAAGAATTGTTTAATCAATAAAAAAAAAGCACGAAATGATTTTTTTTTTTTTAAAAAAAAAAGGAGGAATAAGGAAATTTTCATACCCAAAATACTTTTCGAGCTCATCATTTTTAAAATTTTTAGTTATCACGTACGGAAGTACATCAGGCGGAAAATCATACTCACAAGGAATCACCCTTGGGTTCAAGAAATATTTAAAATTACTCATCTGTAATATATTTTGATCAATTTGCAAAACAGTCAATTGCAAAAGTTTATTAATTTCATCCAAAAGAGATTTGGGTTTTTCTTTTATGCAATAAGATATCCACCACTTCATCAAAGCCATTGTTTCTTCTTTAGTCAACGTACGATTCTGCAATTCTTCATAGAGGTCATTTAACGTAATTTCTTTTAATATTTTCATAACATCTTTAGCCTTTTTAATAATGGTATCACATTGTTCCACCAAAATTTTAGGAACCACTGGCACCATTTTGATAAATGCTTCCATTTCTGGGTTAAGTAACCGCGCTAAGTTAATCGGTTTGACTCCACGAGTTGTTAGAATAGAAATGGGTTGAGTGGCACAATTAAGAAATTGTAATTCAGCGATTCTTCCTACGAGGATATTTGGTGTACTATTTTTGAATGTATAATGTGAAAGAGCATGAGCTGCTTTCTTTTCAAAATATTCGCGGCTTGTTTTGGTTGCTTCATCTTCTTCAGAATCAATTGATGTATGAACAATCTCGTTATAAAGTCTGGAAATTTGGGTCATTTCATCTTCATATAGAATTCGACACAAAATTCCAGCAAGGCATAACATTTCGGTGTTATATACTGCGAGAGTTTTGTCAACTAAATCAACGGATTCACGTTCGACCTTATAATCAATTATAATTAATTTTGGACAAGCCACTAAAATTTAAATATATAATAACAATAAATACATACCGTTGGAATCAAACGAGCTGCTAAATGAGAACTACAACCAGTAGTTTGATGTGTTGGAAATCCAATAAAAATGCGACCTTGTTCGGGATAAGGAAGTAGGTTTTTAAATATTTCAGAAATCTTTTCGTTTCGATCTGAAGAAGAATTATGTTCGTCATAACCAGTAAATATCATTTGAATAGTGGTTTTACTAGGAGGCTTCTTTTTGGTTGTTCTTTCCATTTCATTGGAAAATGCTTTAGTTATTTGTACATCCAAGTGACCAGTAGCGACTCGAAGAAATATAGATGTTTCTTCTTTCTGAAAGTCATTCGTAGCCAACATTGTAAATAAACCTTTTTTTTGTATTATTAATCTTTCGACATCTAATTGTACTTGCCGAACATCAACGGACTTGAGTACAAACATTTTTTGAGGAGAAATAGCATTTAAACCTGGGGGAATATTCATAGGTCGTGGTGTGGCCATTTTCTTTTTGATGTGTATTATGCATTTTTTATTAAAATATACGATCACTTCACGAAGATTTTCTGTAAATCCCTTTTGAATAAGGAAAAAAATATTATATGTAAATATTTAAAATATTTAAACTGTTGATGTATACAAAAATAATAATTTACCAATGAAGTTGCTAGAAATCGACCAAAATCATCTGCATTCGGAAACTAATATTTTATATTAAAAAGAAGTATCATAAGGAAATATGAAAAAATAATAATAATAATTTCTATATAAAATCATACCTCCGATTTTTCTCGCATATCCATTAGAAAAGTGGACCATGTCATATCTTCTTGGTTAATCACAGCACGTTTAGCAAATAATTGATCGCCTTTCCAGTAAAAGGCCATTCCCTGACCTCCGGAAGAAACACTATTAGAAAAAAAAATGATTTAACAAAAGTCCAATAATTAATTGATCAAATTGAATTAAATACTTACAATGGTTCTTCACAGACTGAAAACAATGAATAAAATCCCACGCCAAAAGCTCCGATCTATTTATAAAATATAAAATTTTAGTTATTTGATACAGATCGGCAAGATCTTGTGGTGATCGGATCAGACCTTTTGTTCATCAGGATTTCCCTCTGCAATTTTCTTTAATCGATTCCAATCTTCAGGTCGAAATGCAAATCCATTGTTTTTAAATAGTATTCTAGAGCATTTGTCTTTAAAAATGTTTGATTCCATCAAATTATAGCCTTTTGAGGTTTCAAATATTATTTGTACGCAGGATGCCTTTGCATCGTCTGTAATAAGAAAATTAATTATGATTAGTAAGAATCATTAAAATATGTGTATGTAGTATAAAAAATACAAACCTGCATTTTGCATTAATTCTCTGAAAACCACAAATTCTGCCGAATATCTGTGAAATAGTGAAATAATATATTTTTTATAAGCCTTTTCTTTATTGTGAAGATGGATTAATGGAAATACCTTGCCAAAATTTTATCAATCAAATGTCTTTGATTAACTTCAACTCTCTCTTCACCTCCCGAGTTGGATAGAACTTGTTTTCTCAATTCATCCATATTTTAGAAAGCTTACAAATATAATTTAGAGAGAAATTTGATCTGTGTTCATATTTATATAAAAATATATCATTGAAGGATATAATTGTACAACAAAATATTAATAGGGTATGGAAGTTACACATGACGATTTCAGTAAAAGATATGGAAGTTACATGTAACAAATTTTTATTATTTCATAAAAGGCATTTGAAGTTACACATGACAAATTTTATAAGAAATATTCTTATTATATTTTATATATTTACAAAATATTTATTATTATATAAATTTTATAAATAAAATATATTTATTGATAATTTATTTTTAAGTTTTTAATGTTTAATGTGTAATGTAAAAAATGTAAAAATGAATTATTTATATTAATCTTTTTCTACTTCCAAAATCTTTTCTTGAATTCGATCCAAATAAATATTACTAACTTTTTGAGTTAATAAATAACCTGTACACAATGCTACAAACATTCCAACTATAAACATGAGAATTCCTATTATTACGGCTAATAATAAAACAAATCCGCCAAGATCTCCTCCGCCACTACAATCTCCAAACCATAAACATCCATAACATGATATACATTCACATCCGCCACAATAACAATAAGTTTCCCTGGTCGTTCTAGCTCCCTCAAAGCATGAAGTTATTATCAAGAAAATTAAACCTAAAAATGAGACTAAACTTAATCCAATTATAAGGTGTATTACTTCCACGCCTATTATTTCTATGTGTTTCCATCCCGGAGGATTTGGTGCCCTATCTTTATTTATTACATTAATATCAATCACTTTTACAATCCAAGATACTCCATAAATAATTGCCAGAAAAGATGTAATAGATAATATATGTAAAAATATCTTGCTTCCTATAAATCTTGCTAATTTAGGTCTATAAAATTTATAATTATATTTACAAACTTCACATTGATATGATGCATCTGGACGTAAATTTGTGGTACGCCATTTATTCAAACAATCGAGATGAACATATTGTAGTGAACCTTTGCATTTACATGGAGAAATTAATTTGCCTTTTTCATAAATTATAGTTCCGTCTTCCTGTTCTTCTATTAATTCTGGTTCTTGACAAATTTTACAGAATTTTGTGGGAAATATGGGACCTTGAGAATCATCTGTATTTTCACGATTAGATTTTTTTGAATTAGGTACATATTCACCATGAGACATTGAGTGTTGAGAAACTGTGTCGGAGGATGATGATCGAGATGTTTTTTTTGTAACGTTTGTAGTGGACTCTTGCGTTATTTCCACTATTGTTTCATATTTATTAGAATTTTCATTTTCATTCGATGAAGATGAAAGATTGAGATCATGTTCTTGGGATTTTATGATAGTATTAATTTCTTTTAATTGTATGGATTTGGAGGTTTCCGAGTTATCAAATATTTCAGGTTCTTGGAACTTTATTATAGTATCGGTTTCTTTTAATTGTGTGGGTTTGGAGGTTTCCGAGTTATCAAGTATTTCAGGTTCTTGGAACTTTATTATAGTATCATTTTCTTTTAATTGTATGGGTATGGAAGTTTCCGAATTATTAATTTGGGCAGTTAAATCAATGTCAGATAGCTGAGTGTTGGTTATATCACGTGTGTTATGCGGAGAAGACATATTATCGTTTGCATTAAAAATATCTCTTATTTAAATAACAAATAAATTCTTTATGCAAGAAAATAATAATGTACACTTGAAATTTTGACAAAAGAAAAAAAATAAATTCTTTATGCAAGAAAATAATAATGTACACCTGAAATTTTGACAAATAAAAAATTAAATATAAGTTTAGTGATAAAAATTTTATTCAAATTATAATTCGAGAAGAATTAAAGATATCTGAAAAGTGAAATGTACTGGTTTATATTTAAATGAAACGTACAACATGAAACAATTTTAATAACGTACAATGATAAATCTTTTTTTCTTTAAATGTGTGTACCAAAAAAAGATAAATATTTACACCATTTGTGGATAGGAAGAATTAAATTTTACTGTCACACACTGGCTATTAGATTTTCTTTTAAAATCATTCCCAAGTATTGACACTAATTGCACTATTTGTCTATGACACTCCATTTATGGAATTTAATTCAACCAATAAATAATAATTGTCATGCTATATTTTTTTTAAAGCTTAATGTTTTCTTTCCGGATCAACTATAAACCCCATCATTAGTAGTTAAAACAAAATTTGGTTTCATATAAAAAGAAATTAAATCTAAAAATATTTTTGAATATGATTTGATATTGCGTAGTGATAATAATACTTCTCTAACTGTTATGTATCTAACTATTTATTGAATTGTATTATAGTAAAATATGATATAAAAGTAGATTCATAGGATTTAATTAATAAGAACATCCACTCCTTATGAAATAAAGATTTTTCAGATAACAAAATGGAAACGAAAATGATATCTATTGTTGTTCAGAGAATGTTCTTTTTTACTAAATTACTATATTTATGTAAATTATTAACCTGAATTGGTATCAAAAAATAATTTATTGATATGCATTGTTAGGGTAAATTATTTCCGTCTTATTATTTAATTTATCAACCAAATCCAATTTGTTAATAAAAGCAAATTAGCAATTTAAACATCAAGATATAAACAAAACGACATCGAAGATAAACGTTATCTATTTGAAATATCGCGTTTAATTAATTTAAAAATCTTGGCTCAATGACACAAAGAAATTATATATTCGAATTTTTCAAAAAAAAAAAATATAGTGAACATTGATTTGACAACTGTTCCATCAATTACTATCTTTACTTGAGGTACAGTGGGTGATCAAAAATCACCGGACAGTTGAAAATTTTTAAAAAAATTACTAAAATTAAAATGCTGATTCTAC